CATTTAAGTATTAATTAATTAATTAAGTAAGTAAGTAATTAAGTAATTAAGTAATTAATTAAGTAAACCATCTAAATTGTTACTTCCTCAGTAAAGCCTTAAATAAGCAAGCAGGAAATCACCTAGAGACTGTGACAGAGTTAGGTAGCTTACTCCCCTGCCAATACCACTTTGTTGATTTTCTGTTTTTCTTCTTCACTAGTCTTTCTGGTTGTCAAGGATGATGTCTTGATGCCAATTCCAAAGGCATACCATATACCTTGTACATAGTAGGTGCTCTGAATATAATTGTGTATGATAGGGTCAATTTACAGCTGGACTGGGAAAACTCTATCTTCATCTCTGAGGACATCTGGGTATCTGGCTCTTGGACAAGATAAGGTCAATTAGGGACGCCTTGGTGGCTCAGATGGTTAAGCATCTGCCTTCAGCTCAGGTCATGATCCCAGGGTCCTGGGATCGAGCCCCACATCAGGCTCTGTGCTCAGCGGGGAGCCTGCTTCTCCCTCTCCCTCTGCCTGCCTGTCTGCCTACTTGTGATCTCTCTCTCTGTCAAATAAATAAATAAAATCTTTGAGAAAAAAAAAGATAAGGTCAATCAGATTTATGATGTGCTGTTTAAAGTCCAAAACTCCCAAGTGATCTGTAAACCAGTTTGTTTACTGACAGGTGTTCACCTGATAGAACTGGTTAGCCAGCCTGGCTTGCTAAGAAACATATAAATATGTTTCTTAACATGACCAGAGCAACACAAAAATACCCCACTATGAACTGCCTTGAGCTCTCCACAACCCAAGATTTATTACACAGATCTTGGTGGTTCAATCCAGGGATGAAATGGACCTGTATACAAATTAGGATTCCAGACAGTTTCCCCTTGATGTCCCCCACATTCTTAATGCTTGTCCACTCTCTCTTTCTCTTGCTACACCATATCCTTTAACTTTAAATAAAAGCCTTAGGTGAATATGCTCTATGGAGACTCATGAGTCCTTTCAAATACCCAAACTTGTGAGATCTTTGCAATACTATTTTCTGTACACTTTCATGGATGTAAAAATAAGCCATATGGTTCAGCTCATATCCTTGTCAATCTTAATAAAACAAAAATTTCTGCATTTTATACTCCTATATAGTCTATAAATACTTTCACATACACTAACATTAAATTCCCAAAGTAACCCTGTTAAGAAGTAGACTAGAGAAACCCAGACTTAAATGATTAAATGACTTGTCCACTTTTGCTCAACCAGTAAGGGGCAGAACTGGACTCAAGCCCAGAGTACAGATAGGTCTATCAATTAAACTAGGCTGCCTCCCAAGTCTGCAGCAATTACATGCCTGTGCTATTATTTGAGGGCTTAAGGTAATATCTCTACATCTTGATGAGACTTATTGGAATAAGTTACAAAGGCATCCGTATCCATGTATCTAGTAAAGAGGTTAATAATAATACATAATGTTGGTATCAAGAGGTTGAATGTATTCATTCCTTCACTCCACAATTATATGACCACCAATTATGAGGCTTAGACACTGTGTTAGGTAGAGCTTAGTTGTAGCAAAAAATGAGACTTTTAAAACAGAAAAATGAATACTTTTTCAGCTCATGGATGAAAAGGAAGTTTAAATTTCAGTGCATAATCGGATACTCTAAATTCTTAAGAAAGCCATTACCCAAAATTTTATATGGTACTTTAGAGTGCATAAGGTCATTACTTTGTTTAACTTAATACTCAAAACCAACCTGTAAGTATTTTTAATCTGACAGCTAAGAAAGTGAAATCAAAATTAAGCAATTTGTCCTAATATATACAAGATCACACAGCTTGAACAAGGTAAAGTCAGGATTCAAATGCAAGGGTACTAATAACCTGTTTTCTTTTTTTTTTTTTTTTAAGATTTTATTTATTTATTCATGAGAGACAGAGAGAGAGAGAGAGAGAGGCAGAGGGAGAAGCAGGCTCCCAAGGAGCAGGGAGCCCGATGCGGGACTCGATCCCAGGATGCTGGGATCATGACCTGAGCCGAAGGCAGACGCTTAACCATCTGAGCCACCCAGGCACCCTGTTTTCTTTCCGTTTTTATCAACTATTTCTTATTCTTATGTTGATTTGGATTGAAATGTCCTATTACATTTTTTTAAAAATCCACAAAATGAGGGGCACCTGGGTGGCTCAGCTGGTTGAGCATCTGCCTTCAGCTCAGGTCATGATCCCAGGGTCCTGGGATGGAGCCCGATGTGGGCTTAGCAGAGAGTCTGCTTCTACCTCTCCCTCTGCCCCTCCCCTCACCATGCTCTCTCTCCCACTCTCTCTCAAATAAATAAATAAAATCTTTAAAAAAAAATCCGCAAAATGAGGGGCCCCTGGGTGGTGCAGTTAGTTAAGCATCCAACCCTTGCCTTTGGCTCAGGTCGTGTTCTCGGGGTCGTGAGATCGAGCCCCATGTTGGGCTCTAAGCTCAGGGAGGAGTCTGCTAAGGTTTCTCTCTCCCTCTCCCTCTGCCCCTCACTGCACTCATTCTCTCTCTGAAGTGGATGAATGAATCTTAAAAAAAAAAAAAAAAATCCACAAAATGAAAAAAATTAAGTAAAACATTTTATTTTATAATTATGAATAATTTAGAATCTAAAGTAAAATAAAGTAATTTAAATGTCTTAGTGATTTTATCTCTTTCTAATTGGTGGTTATAAATATGTTTCTTAAATATTTATTGAATTAAATATCTTTAACCTCCTGGGAATTTCAGTGTTCTGGAAAATGAAATAAAAATAATTCATTTCTTTTAGTCAGCTTCCAAATCAATATGAATAATGAAAACAAATCATTGATATGTATTTTCTAAACATGAAAAGCTATCTGAGTTGTGGAATTGTTTTTGAAAATGTATAATTAGTTGTTAATGTTTAGCAGTATCTCATTCTTTAACAGTGTAAGCAACTAAATACTTGCTCCAATAGAACACATTGAGTAAAATATAAGTTTATGAATTTATTTCATTTAAAGTCTTAAACAGTGCTTAATTTAAATCAAATTCCTAAGCAGTAGAGAAAAAATTAAAGATTATAAGACAAGTTTTTTAATTTTTGGAATTCCCAAATCTCTCAAATGAATTGTTCTAGGGGCGCCTGGGTGGCTCAGTCAGTTAAGCGTTGGACTCTTGATTTCAGCTCAGGTCATGATCTCAGGGTTGTGAGATCAAGCCCCTCATCACACTGGGCGTGAGGCCTGCCTAAGATTCTTTCTCCCCCTCTCCCTCACCACACCCCCAAAAGAACTGTTCTAGTGCTAGTTCTACCCAAATAACTTTGGGTCAATTTCCACTGGAACAAGACTTTTTTTCAGAGTATTCATTGCCCAAGTGTCAGCTTTTTTTTTTTTTTAATTTATTTATTTGACAGAGAGAGACACAGCAAGAGAGGGAACACAAGTAGGGGGAGTGGGAGAAGGAGAAGCAGGCTTCCCACCGAGCAGGGAGCCCGATGCAGGGCTCGATCCCAGGACGCTGGGCTCATGACCTGAGCCAAAGGCAGATGCTTAACAACTGAGCCACCCAGGCGCCCCTGAATGTCAGCTTTTAAAGGTCTAAAAAAAAAAACTGCTTTAAAGAAAACCAGAGAAAATGAGATAGGTCAGCCAAGACAAGTGTCCCATGTAGCAAACAAAGGTTTCTCTGTGATCCAACTAAAACAGCAATGCTCTTACAACCACACATACATATAACTGGAATATTTCCACGGTCTTTTCCATTAACCTTTCATCTAAATACTGACTTTATTTTAAAGTTGATTTTTATTTTAAAAAAGAATGAGAATGAAATAGTGAAAAAAATCACACAAATTAGATAATAAAAGAAAAAGAATAAAGCAGAAGAGTACTAGTATCTATTGAGTTTATATGCCTGGAACTAAATTAGTGACATTATTTACATAATCTTTCTAATATAAAATATCACCTTGTGAGCTGGGTCTTATCATTCTTCGTTTACTATCAGTAAATTGAGCCACAGCAAGATTAAGGAATTTTCCCAGTGTCATATCGCTCCCAAGTGGGAATATCTAGATTCAATCTCATGTCATTTCTCTTTAACAAGCTGTGTTCCTACCACCACAACATGCAAAAAGCAAGAGCAAAAGGAAAGAACGAGAATAAGAGAGACACAATCATAAGTGCTGGTCTATCCTAATAAATCTTAAGAGCCAAGTAAGCCATGTAGTTCTGGCAACTATACTAGACTCATCTGAATGTCTATAGAATTTATTCATTTGTGATCCATATGACTAAAGAAATGATACTTCTTTTTTTTTTTGTATTCTAATCCTGTTTATTCAACACAATCCCTTCACTCTACACAACAAAGTACAAACACAACAGCACCTAAAATGCTGTAAGTTACAAAACTCAAAACAACAAATCTGTAGTACTGACTGTACAATAAAAGCCAAGAGAAGCAATGTACATGTTGCCCAGGTAACCTGCAAGACCACCCTGAGCAGCAGCTGCAGCAGGGGGTGGTCCGTGATGACCCTGCTGAGCCGGCTCTCGTTATGCTCACCAATTTCAGAGGAAGGGAGACGGGGGGGGGGGGGGTGTGCGCACGCGAGTACACGTAGAAACAGAACCATTTCTCGGAATTAACATGGGCCATTTGACCACAGGTGTGGGAAGAGGACTCGATCAGGGGAGCAGGGCCAGGCGAGCAGGAACGACAGCTGCACCCAGGTGCACCCTTTCCTGAGGGACCCTGCAGACCACGAAGCAAGGGCAGGACCGGGACGCCCAACCAGCCCCCAGTCATTTGTGGAAATGGAACAGGTACCCCACCCCCAGGCTGCAGCCACACTACCAGCTGGAGCCCTGCTTTGTCCCTGCTGGCTTTGCCACTGGATGCACTCTCTTAGGAACTGGAAATGTGGGAGCTTTCGAACCAGAAAACTGGAAGGCATGCTTACAGGCACAATCCCAAACCATGAATACTCCTCTGGAACTCTGCCTTCAGAGGAAATGTCTCAGTTGCTGTCTTCGAAGCCTGCCCCGAGTGAGGAATTTCTTTCCGAACAACTCTCATTTGGCTAGAGAAGTGACAAAGCCGAAGTGGATGGGATCGAAGTCACAGGGCGCAGAGCTCCGGGGGCCCTGCTTATCGGGAGGAGTTGGAGCTGGAGCGGCTCCTGTGGTGGCGGCGGCCAGGGGAGCGAGACCACCGGCGCATGAGGGACCTGCACCTTGGGGAGCGCGTGACCTTCTTCTCATTCGCGGGGGCGACCGACGCCACCTGGGAGGTGGTGGCAGCATCCTCCTTGGAGGGCTGAATCGCCTGGGGGGTGGCCGAGGCCAGGGGGCCAGCACAGCGGTGGCAGTGATCTCCTGGCCGTCGATTTGTCCTCCATCCATGTGCTCCAGTGCCTTCTCGGCTTCATCTGGGTTCTCAAACTCCACGTATGCATAGCCTTTAGCCAGATGGGGGTGCATCCTTTCTACAGGCATGTCAATCATTTTAATTTTCCCATAGGTAGAGAGTATTTCCATGATGTGGTCCTTGGTCACATTCCTGGTGAGCCTCCCGATGTGGACTTTGGTGGGCTTAGGGGAAGGACTCCGCCTTTTCCTTTCCTTTTCATCTCTTTTGGGTGGTTCGGATTTGGAGCGGGAGCACCTCCTGTTACCATGCCTGCGCCCAGAAGGACTTGGCGAGCCAGAGATGCTGCTGGAGCTGGAACTGCGGGATGTGCTGGAGCTTCCCGAGCGGCTAGACGCTGAAGAAGAGCTTGAGCTGCTGCTGGAGCCCGAGCTGGAGGTAGAGCCGGACTGGGACCTGGTGCTGCTGCTACCACTGGAAGCGCTGCGCCTCTTCCGAGTTTCATCCCTGCCACGATCCTTCTCGCTTGACTCCTTGGTGGCCCCTTTATCTTTAGAACGATCCCTGGACTTCTCATCAGAGCGGTCTTTGCGTTTGGTAGGAGAAGGAGCCATCTTCCCGCCGCCGCAACCTCCTCCCGCTCTCCTCAGCCGCTGAGGCCGGCGCTGCCAGAAATGACACTGTCTTAAGACAATTCTTTCACTGCTGAAACAAATCATTTATCTTTTCTGCTAGTCACCTTTTCACATTTTAAGTTTATACCTCATGTATCACATAACCTATTGGGAAAAAAAATCCATCAAACAACATTGCAAAGTACTATACATGTAGTAGGTATTTAGTAAATATTTGTTGAATACTTTATATATTCACAATGCCCTGAAATCAGTAAGTACTTGAATAGTTGATAATGCGATCAGCCTTCAGTGACACGGAACTTCAAAAGTTCTGGTTTTAGGGGGCGTGGCTGGCACAGTCGGAAGAGCATGCGACTCTTGATCTTGGGATAGTGAGTTCGAGCCCCAAGTTGCATGTAGAGATTATTTAAATAAATAAACTTAAAAAAAAAAGTTCTGGTTTTATAGTTCAGTCTGGAAAAAGGTTCTGCTTTAATCTGTCAAGATCAAGACATACTACTGGTTATCTGAGTTGATTCATCATTTCTCTAGTATCTCCACTAGTAAGTAATGGCTTCAAAATGACAACCAGGCAAAAAATAAACCTTTTTTATTCTATAGATTACAATGGGCTGAATATGCCAAGTGATTTCTCACTGGTTTAACTAACATTTACTGAGAACTTAATCCTATCTTAGATACTGTGCTAAGTTCTATGGATACTGAGTTAAAGCTAAAAAGTTTTTTAACTTGTGGAATTATCAATATAGTGGAGAATATAGGCATATATATAAATAATTAAAATACTATGTGAGACATATACACATCATTCATTCAATAAATATTTGCTGAAAGCCTCATGTAGTAAACACTGTAACAAGCCCTGGGATACAGCAATGAACAAGATCCTAGGGCCCCACCCTTCACTGACTTTACAACCTAACATGGCCTCAAAGACTTCCCAAGTCTACAGAACAATGAAATCATCGTCAAAAATCGTAAGAACACATAAGGAAACACGCAGCCATAAAGGAAGAACACAAAAACAAGCAATAGAAACAGACAAAGATGAAAGATACTGAAATTAATGGATACAAGATATTAAATATGTTTGATACATTTAAGGAAATAAAAGAAAGCAACAAAAAATAACCAAAAAATAAAAAAATTATCACAAATTGTCAGGTAGCTTTGTAAAAGAAAACCTTTAGAAATGAAAAATATAATAATTAAAAATGCTAAAGAGAAAAAATGAATGTGAAAGAAAAAAAAAATAAAAGGCTAAATTAACCAAGAGATGAGAGAAATAAAGCAGGACATTCCAGATCAGAAAGAATAATGTATGCAAACACAGGAAACTATGAGGCTGCATTCTGTGTTCGAGAAAATAAAAGCTGAATTATACTGCTGAAATATAAAGTGCAAGTGTTTAGAAAGGCAAGAGATTACATCAGAAAAGTCATCAAGGGCCGGTTTGTGAAAGTCTTTACCCATTATACTTCTCAACTCTATATTCCACATGTGCCAATACTGATTATCTGAAGTTCTTATCTTATATATCTGTAAGTATACATTTTTATGTGTATATATAGTTAATAGTATTTCTAGTTTTGAAATGTATAAATCGTTAGCTAAAATAAATAGCTATTGAGCAATATGGCAGACACCCCAAAAATCCTCGCATTACAAATACCTAAACATATGGATAAAGCTTAATAATATATATATATTTAAAAGATTTTATTTTATTTATTCATGAGAGACAGAGAGAGAAAGAGAAAGGCAGAGGGAGAAGCAGGCTCCCAAGGAGCAGGGAGCCCGATGTGGGACTCGATCCCAGGACCCTGGGATCATGACCTGAGCCGAAGGCAGACGCTTAACCATCTGAGCCACCCAGGCGCCCTGAATAATATATTTTTCAATGCACAGTTCAACTCCTCAAAGACTAAAGGTAATTCCCAGAGGGAAAAATTGAGAAGAACCTGAAAATCAATACGGAGGCTGGGTTATGACTGTCCTACAGAGAGAAAGAGGTAGGGCAGTGAATTGCCTGTCTCATTATCATAGCAAGTAGAGTTTCAAATGCTCACACAGGAATAGGAGATCAGGCACTGGACCATGGAAGGATAGGAAATGGATCTGAAATCATCTATATGAAATGCTTGAAGGACTACCTACTCAGTAGTTAAATGAAATAGAAAAGTAACCACCCAATAGCACAGAATAACAGTAAGAAAGTTGTTCCATAGTGATCTAGTTTAAGGGAAAAAACAAATAAAACAATAAAAACAATTACCTCGTTTTGGAAGTATAAACACAAGGTTTGTGACAAGCATATTCTAAAGTGGCCACCAGGGGGTGCTGAGGTGGCTCAGTCGGTTGACAAGTGACTTGATTTCAGCTCAGGTCTTGGCTTAGGTCTCCATCTCAGGGTGCCATGGGATCTAGCAGAGCATCCACTCTGCGCTCAGCCAGAGTCAGCTTGTCCCTCTCTTTCCCCTTCACCCTCTGCCCCTCACCCTGCCTGTGTACACTCTCTCTCCCTCTAAAATAAATAAATAAAATATTTAAATAAAAAAAAATAGGGGTGCCTGGGTGACACAATCAGTTGGGTGTCCAACTCTTGGTTTCAGCTCAGGTTGTGATTTTTGGGGCATGGGATCCAGCCCCCCGTGGGGCTCTGAGTTCAGTGTGGAATCTGCTTGAGACTCTCTCTCTCTGCACTTCCCCACCACTTCCCTCTCACCCGCTCTCTCTCTCTCTCCCTCTTAAATAAATAAAGTGGCCACCAGGATCCTCACCCCCTAGTATCCAAGCCCTTGTGTAACTCCCTCCCCCTTTGTATGTAGGCAGAACTGGTGACTTGCGTCAAACCAACAGAATACAGCAAGATGACAAGATATACATATTTATGTGTATGTGATATTATATGAGATTGTAGCACCCATCTTGCTGGAGTCTCTCACTCCCTTGCTGGCGTTGAAAAAGCAAGCTACCACACATTGTTGGGTTGCCTATTTTGGGGGTCTCATGCAGCAAGGAACCCAGGGAAGACTCCAGTAGCTAAGAGTAGCCTCCATCCAAAAGCCAGCAAGAAACTGAAGCCTTAATCCTACAACCACTGGGAACCAAATTCTGCTAGTAAAGTCTTCCCTTGTCAAGCTTCAGATGGGACCACAGCCCCAGCCAACATCTTGATTACAGCCTTGTGAGACTCTAAGCAAACGACCCAGCTAAGCCAGGCCCACACTCCTAACCCATAGAAAATGTGAGATTATAAATGTGTGTTACTTTAAGCCACTACGTATGTGGAAATTTGTCATGCAGCAAAGACTAATACAAGGTGGAACTACATACTGAATAGCGTGCACTCGCTCTCTCTCTTGCTCTATCTCCGGCAAATAACATGTAAGTTAGGAGGAGCATATACAAAGTTAAAGTAGCTTCTTTCAATTACCTAAAAGAAGGAAGAAATAAGTTTGGATTTTAAGTATGTATTCAAAAAATATTTAAATAAACACCAGAAGAAAAGAACTAGAACAAACCAGTAGCTTCCAAACCAGCAGAGGGGAGAAGAGAATAAAAAACCTTATCACTGCCAAAAGAAGGCAAGAAATATAGATGTAGAATAAAAACCATTATAAAAAAGGGTGGAGGGGCACCTGGGTGGCTCAGTCGTTAAGCGTCTGCCTTTGGCTCAGGTCATGGTCCCAGGGTCCTGGGATTGAGCCCCACATCGGGCTCTCCGTTCAGCGGGAAGCCTGCGTCTCCCTCTCCCACTCCCCCTGCTAAGCGGGGAGCCTACTTCTCCCTCTCCCTTTGCCTGCTGCTCCCCTTGCTTGTGTTCTCTCTCTCTCTGTCAAGTAAATAAATAAAATCTTAAAAATAAAAAGGGTGGAAATAAAAATGTATCAGTAATCACAGAAAGACAGAAAATGAGACTGAATTTTAAAAGTAAGAGAATCAGCTATCTGCTATTTACAAGATAAACACCTTAAACCTAAGGGCACATAAAAAAAAACAAAAACAAACAAACAAAAAAAACCCTAAGGGCACATAATAGCTGACAGTAAAAATCTGGAAAAAAAATTTGCCAGGCAAAAGAAACAAAATAGATTTTAAAGCATAAATTCAATATACAACTTAAATTTCAGGTCATTTTTAGGATTAGTGCCGTTGTTTTTGTCCAATCTCGTCAAGAAGCAAACCATTTATTGATGGTACACATGGCTTTGTACTAGTCTCATTGCTGGTAAAGCAATTTTATGAAGATACCTACACAGCATGCTTACCAAATAAATAATGAAGACTTCTAACAGAGGGCAATAATAAGAAAGATAGGCTATATACAGACAGGATTAAAAGTAATGAACATTACACATCCACCCAAGATAGAGTAACAAGGACCATATTTACTCTCCTACCTGAAACCAATGAAGCAACAAAGGTGCACAAGAAAACTTTTTGGGATGATGAGTATATTCAAATCTTGGTTGTGGTGATGGGTTCACGGGAGTACATCTGTCAAAATTTAGCAAATCATACAATGTAAATATGTATAGTTTTTTTGCACTGCAAAGGAAACCATCAACAAAATGAAAAGGCAACCTAATAATGAAAGGAGATATTTGCAAAAGATACATCTTTTTTTTTTTTTAAGATTTTATTTATGGGCGCCTGGGTGGCTCAGTTGGTTAAGCGACTGCCTTCGGCTCAGGTCATGATCCTGGAGTCCCGGGATCGAGTCCCGCATCGGGCTCTCTGCTCGGCAGGGAGTCTGCTTCTCCCTCTGACCCTCCTCCCTCTCATGCTCTCTGTCTCTCATTCTCTCTGTCTCAAATAAATAAATAAAATCTTTAAAAAAAAAAAAAAAAAAGATTTTATTTATTTGACAGAGACACAGCGAGAAAGGGAACATAAGCGGGGGCGGGGGGGTGGGAGAGGGAGAAGCAGGCTTCCCGCTGAGCGATGCGAGGCTCGATCCTAGGACCCTTGGATCATGACCTGAGCCGAAGGCAGACACTTAACAACTGAGCCACCCAGGCGCCCCTACAAAAGATATATCTGATAAGGGGTTAATATCCAAAATATATTTAAAAACTCATACAACTCAACACCCCAAAACCCCCAAACAATCCAATTAAAAATGGGCAGAAGACCTGAATAGACATTTCTCCAAAGAAGACATACAGATGGCCAAAAGATGCTCAACATCATTAACCATCAGAGAAATACAAATCAAAACCACAATGAGATTATCACCTTACACCAGAGTGGCTAATATCAGAAAGACAAATAACAAATGTCGGTGAGGATGTAGAAAAAAGGGAACCCTCATTGTACTCTTGGTAGGAATGTAAATTGGTGCAGCCACTACAGAAAACAGTATGTTATTTCCTCCAAAAATTAAAAATAGAAATGCCATAAAATCCAGTAATTCTACTTCTGGGTAGAGAAAGAAAATGAAAAAACTTATTTTTTTTTTAAGATTTTATTTACTTATTTGCCAGAGATAGAGCGAGAGCGAGAGAGAGAGCAAGCGCACAAGCAGGGGGGAGCGGCAGGCAGAAGAAGCAGGCTCCCTGCTGAGCAAGAAGCCCGATGCAGGATTAGATCCCAGGACCCTGGGATCATGACCTGAGCCAAAGGCAGACGCTTAACCGACTGAGCCACATAGGCGTCCCATGAAAAAAACTATTTTAAAAAGATATATGCACCCCTCTGTTTATTGCAGCATTTACAATAGTCAAGATAATGGAAGCAACCCAAGTATCCATTGAAGGATGAATGGATAAATAGATGTGGTACACACACATGCACACACACACAGACAATGAATAAATAAATAAATAAACTTAGCCATAAACAAGAATGAAATCTTGCCATTCTTGACACCATGGATAGACCTAGAGGGAGGGTATTATGCTAAGTAGAATAAGTCAGACAAAGACAAATACCATATGATTTCACTTATATGGAAAACCTAAAAAACAAACAAAACAGACAGAAACAGACTCATAAATACTGAGAAAACTGGTAGTTGCCAGAGGGGAAGAGGACGGGGGAATGGATGAAATAGTTGAATGAGATTAAGAGGTACAAACTTCCAGTTTTAAAATAAGTAAATCATGGGGATGAGAAAAGTACAGCCTAGAGAATTACACTTAAAATCCAACATTTAGGGCGCCTGGGTGGCTCAGTTGGTTAAGCGACTGCCTTCGGCTCAGGTCATGATCCTGGAGTCCCGGGATCGAGTCCCGCATCGGGCTCCCTGCTCAGCGGGGGGTCTGCTTCTCCCTCTGATCCTCCCCCTCTCATGCTCTGTCTCTCATTGTCTCTCTCGCAAATAAATAAATAAAATCTTAAAAAAAAAAAAAAAATCCAACATTTAGGGGCACCTGGGTGGCTCAGTCAGTTGCGGGTCTGACTCTTGGTTTCGGCTCAGGTTGAGATCAATCTCAGGGTCCTGAGATCAAGCCCTGCGACAGGCTCCACGCTCAGCCTGGAATCTGCCTGAGATTACCTCTCCTTCTCCCTCTGCCCCTCCTGCTCATTTTCTCTCCCTCTCTCTCTCTCAAATAAATAAATCTTTTTTCAAAAGTCCAACATTTATATATATTTATATATATGTCATTAAATACTTGTCAGATAGATAGATAAAAGAACTAGAACAAACCAGTAGCTTCCAAACCAGTAGAGGGTAGAAGGGAAAAAAAAAACCTATCACCGCCAAAAGGAGGCAAGAAATATAGGAGATGTTGAATAAAAAGCACTAAAAAGGATGGAAATAAATAAAAATGTATCAGTAATCACAGTAAATCAGTAATCTGAGAAAGAAAATGCGACTGAATCTTACTATAATAACTTTGTATGGTGACAAATGGCAACTACACTTTTCATGATAAGCATTTCATAATATATATAAATGTAGAATCACTACATTGTACACATGAAACTAATATAATACTGTATGTCAACTATATACTTCAATTAAAAAAAATCTTTCAAAGACAACAGATTTTTTTTAATGGGCAAAAGACACTTCACGAAAGAAGATACGGGAAAGTTCAAGAAGCAATGAAAATGTACTCAATATCTTTATTCATCAGGTAAATGTTAATTAAAACCACAATGAGAGGGGCTCCTGGGTGGCTTAGTTGGTTAAGGCCTGCCTTCAGCTTGGGTCATGGTCTCAGGGTCCTGGGTTTAGGCCCCTCGATCAGGCTCCCTGCCCAACGGGGAGACTGCTTCTCTTCTCCCTCTACCCCTCACTCTCCCTTTGCCCAACCCCCCTCCCCCGATCGTGCTCTGTCTCTCTCTCTCAAATAAATAAATAAAATCTTTAAACACAAATACACACACACAATGAGATACCACTACACATAGTCCAGGGTGGATAAAATTTCAAGAAGAGTAACAGCAAATATTGTTGAGGATATGGAGCACCCAAAACTTCTATGATAAAATGATACATCACTTTAGAAAAAAGTGTTGCAGTCCCTTAAAAAACTAACACAAACCAACTCTATAACCTGACAATGCCACTCCTAGGAATTTACCCAAGAAAGATGAAAATATATGTCCATGAAAAGATTTATATAAAAATGTTCATAGGTTTGGAGTGCCTGGGTGGCTCAGTCATTAAGCGTCTGCCTTCGGCTCAGGTCATGATCCCGGGGTCCTGGGACAGAGCCCCGCATTGGGCTCCCTGCTCCGTGGGAAGCCTGCTTCTCCCTCTACCAGTCCCTCTGCTTGTGTTCCCTCTCTTGCTATGTCTCTCTCTGTCAAATAAATAAAATCTTTAAAAAAACAAAAATGTTCATAAGTTTATTCATAATAGCCAAAAACTGGAAACAGTCCTGGTGTCCAGGAATAAGACAATGGATAAACAAACTGTACTATATTCATACAGTGGAATACTACTCAGCAATAAAAAGGAACAAACTATTGGGGCACCTGGCTGGCTTGGTTGGTAGAGCATCTGACTCCTGGTCCTGGGATTGTGGGTTTGAGCCCCACGCTGGGTGTGGAGATAACTTAAAAATAAAAAAATCTTTGGGGTGCCTGGGTGGCTCAGTCAGTTAAGCATCTGCCCTCAGCTCAGGTCATAATTGCAGGGTCCTAGGAACAAGCCCTGCATTGGGTTCCCTGATCAGCAAGGAGCCTACTTCTCCCTCTCCCTCTACCATTCCCCCTGCTTGTGTTCTCTCACTCTCTTTGTCAAATAAAATAAATAAAATCTTTAAAAAATTTAAAAATTAAAAAAATAAATAAATCTTTAAAAGATTTGTTTAAATTTTAAAAATTAAAAAGGAACAAACTACTGATACAACAGCATGGTTAAATCTCATTTCTCAAAAGCATAAATCTTTTTTTTGTTTGTTTTTACTTAATTCTTACACAAGCATGAATCTTAAATGGATTAATAAAAGTTTTATATCTTTTCAATTTTAACTTTTAATACAGTAAATACCAAAAGATTTAACTCACAAAGCTCTTCAGGGTCCTCAATAATTTTCAAATATATAAAGGAGGACATGAGACCAAAAAACGTGAAAACTTGTGATCTACTAAAAGGTGAATATGGGCATGCCCTACAATTTAACCATTACACTATTCAACAGATACACAAACTCTTAATTTGTGTGTACTAGAATATGTACAAGAGGGTTATAACGTTTGTAATAGCAAAAACCTGAAAACATCCAATAACTGAAGAATGGATAAATCAATATATTCACACAGTAGAATTCTAAACAGGAAAAATAAATGAACTATATCTAAACCCATCAACAGAGATAATTCTTGGGATTATAGATGATACATATTTGACCACAATGAGTGAAAAAAGCAAGTTGAAAAATAAATACACACAGTACAATTCCACTTATATAAAATATAAAACAAGCAAACCTAAACAGTGTATTTTTAGAAATGCACAGGGTAAAAAGCTAGGAAATGACAAACACTAAATTAAGGATAGTGGTTATCTCTGGAGAAAAAGGAAGATGGGATGAGGGAAAGGCACAGAGGGGGCTAAAAGTTTATTTAATGAATGCTCTTAACCACAGAACAGTCCTCCTTTATCAATGTCATAATTCTCTTCAATTGTCAAGCTTTAAGTTGGACTTTTTTTTTTTAAGATTTTATTAGACAGAGAGAGAGAGCGCGAACGCACTCGACGTATAAGTGGGAGGAGGCGCAGAGTGAGAGGGAGAAGCAGACTCCCTGCTGAGCAGGGAGCCCAAGATGTGAGATGCGGGGCACAATCCGAGGACCCTGGGATCATGACCTGAGCCGAAGGCAGACACTTAAGTGACTGAGCCACCCAGGTACCCCTAAGTTGGACATTTCTAGAGTAGTGAAAGAACAGAGAACATCCATCTGATTGGCAAAACTAAATGAACTCCAGTGATCAAATGGGTATCAGACAACAAAACGAGACTGTCCTCCTGTCTGCTTTAAAAAGGGGGTGGGGAGAGGTCGGGGAGGGATTGCTACCCAGCAGGTCAAATAGCCTC